CTCCAGGAACAGAACTCATTTGTATGTAGGGGACTTACTGTATTTACACGGTGGGCCAGGATTCCAAGAGGGTGAAAGTGGAAGTTACTACACCTCACAATGGCTAGGGCTAGAGCTAGCAACACATCATTTCTCCCACATCCTTCACTCCACACAGCAGCCCTTCAGATGGATACCATTAGATACACTGGCCTCTCGTAACTCCTGCAACACTACTTCATCTGACATGTTTTTGATTCCCTCACCATCCTCCTTGTTGTCCATGACTTCTAGTCCTAGAACAATGACTGACACATAGCAGTACTCGACAAATATTTGTTCAATAAATCAATGAAGAAATGAATGCTAACTGTTGATCCAAGGCTCTCTTCAGCAGCATTTACACAAATATTGGAACAATACTAGCCAAAGTGGTCGCTAAATTTGCAAATTCTTCGTCTTTAGTACTTCCTACATATTGAATCACCTCTTCTCCCAAATAGCTGATAACTCACTAAAATTCTCCAGTTTGTTTCTCAGCCTGAGACAGGACAGTGAAGGCAGAAGAATGAGAACAGTCTTAATAGAAACAGCCTTGGACTCTCAGTATCAGGGAGGAAGATTCCCAGGACCTAAACAATATCCCTTTCCTTCCCCAAATAAGATCCAGGTGACTCAAGTATGTCTTCAGAGAACATTAACATGCATCTAGGGTTATTATTGGGGGGCTCTCTGTTTCTATACATTGTGGCCTGAGTACAGTTGCTGCTGTTACCCACCCTCCCTCCAGCAATGCTGACCCCAACCTTTGACCCCTACCCTGCCCCATCGTGGCCCATGCTGAGTTTATGATGCCTTTTGCCAACCTAGAACTTCCTGGCGCTCACACTGAGGTGGGAGTTCCCTCTCTCACCACAAGTAGTATATTACAGTCCTTCTATTTGACTGTCACAAAGGTGTCAATACCTTATGATCCTTTCTCTTTCAAAGAATATGAGACCCGTTCTTCTGGGACTGGGTCAAAGGACATTTGAGAGATAACCCTAGTGGCAAAAGTAATAGAAATGAACTCTGATGCAAAGTCCAGGGAGTGCCCTTCTGACATACTGAGTGTGTAACACCAAATTTTCCCAACTCCCTTTCCATAATTCTTTTCACCACACCATGTTAACAACAAAGACAACAATATAAACTAACATTTAAGGAGTACTTAGTATGTGCCAGGCACTGTTCCGAGTGCTTTAGATATATAATCTCATATATAATTTGGGGTGGAGGAATAGATTGTAGGTAATTGAAGCATCGTGGAATGGTTGAATTGGGAGGCAAGATTTGAAGGAACTGTTAAAAGAGTTTTTTCAGTAAGCTGAGCCAAGATATGAAAGGGGAAGGTGAAAACAGGACAGGGTTGACAGCATGTGTGGATGTGTGAGTAAGGAGTGGCAAAAAATAGATCAGGTAGCCAAGGGCAGGGAGATGTAGTAGCCCATCGGCATTTGAGGATGCTGAAATCAGGTGATCAAAGGAAGTTGATATTATCCCCATTTGTGAATGGAGAGCCTTTCAATTTTCAGGTAAAATTAATGTATTCTATTTTGACATAGCAAATAGACCAGCTCTTGGGGCCACATTGATTAAAATAAAATACATCAGATTCTTTTAATGGTCTTAGTGATATCTCTAAAGGGTTACTTATTATCTGTTAAATATTTGACTAGAGCATTGTTCTGGAATAGCCATAGGAACAATCCTTTGCATAAAAGCGGAGGACCCAGTCTGAAAGCTCTGTCTGCAGTGAAAGCCACAAGCAATGCTTCATCCCTGGCAAAACTGTGTTGACAAGGTGGTCTGCATCCAACCTGGCTGCAAAACAGATGGGCTCTTAGCCAAGCACATTAGGAGATTCCCAATGACCAGTCAGAGGGAGCCTGTAAGGGGATCCCATGTGCGTGTGTCATTAAGTGTGACTTGGTACGGCAGGAGAGGCAGGCAGAAAATGTGTGCTGAGCAGTCAGGCCGAGGCTCAATTAAAAACCTGAAACCAAAGCCTAGACTGGGAGAAATCTCCACAGTATCGATATAACCAAACCCCCATCAAGTGTCCCTTCTTTGGACTCTGTCTTCAACCACTCTACTGGCTCCTTCTCCTAATAACAAACTCAAATTTCTCCAATCTTTAAAATCCAGCCAAATAATCACAACAGAACAACTCTCCCGGCATGCTTTTGGGCTATTCCTTCTCCACGGCTGGGAATGAGCTGTCTACACTTCCTGCTTCCACATGTTCACCTTTCATTCCCATCTCAAGCCACTGCTCTCTGGTTTCTTCTCATCACCATTTCAGTGACACAGTTCCCAACAAGGACACCAAATACTTCTCAATCACCAGATTAAATGGAGCCATCGCCTCCCTTATCTTAACTTGACCTCCCTGTGGCATGTATCTGGACATCTCCCTCCTTCTGGAAATTCTTTAATTCTTTGGTTCCTACAGGACCACACTCCTCGTCTTCTTCTGCCTGACCCTTAAATGTTGGTGTTACCTGGCTCCATCCTCACCACCGCTTTTTACATTCTACACGGTCTCCTAGGAACCTCCCTCATGGTTTCAGCCACCACTTATCTACTGAAGTCACTCAAGTCTCTATGTTCTACCTTGACCACTCTCCCTACGCTGTGTATTCAGCTCTCCACTAAAGCATCTCTCTCTGGACACCCCGGGAAATCTCAACACACAAAACCACTCATGATCTCATCTCCAAATTGCCCATTGTTCATGGATTTCCTCATCTCAGTGAAAGTCAAAACTAATCATCCCGGGCTTCCCTGGTGGCGCAGTGGTTGAGAGTCCGCCTGCCGATGCAGGGGACCCGGGTTCGTGCCTCGGTCCAGGAAGATCCCACATGCCGCGGAGCGGCTGGGCCTGTGAGCCATGGCCGCTGAGCCTGCGCGTCCAGAGCCTGTGCTCCGCAACGGGAGAGGTCACAGCAGTGAAAGGCCCACGTACCGCAAAAAACAAACAAACAAACAACAAAAAACTAATCATCCCATTGCTTAAGCCAGAGACCAGGGAAGAGTTTTTGACTCCGCCTTCTTCCTTGCTACATACGTAGCTCAGTGAGTCAGCAAGGCCTGTCTCAGCCCTTGTCTTCTCTCTTCTGGAGACAGCCCCCCACCCGCCAGCTGAGCTCCTGCCTCCAGACTCTCACCCTCAAATCCACCTCCACCCAGGCCCCCAGAGTAATCTGTCTAAACCCAAACTATGATCGTGCCCCTCCCCTATTTAAAGTCCTCCCATGGCTTCCAACTGACCACCTTTCCCCTCTCATTTCTCTCCTCTCCCCTGTCTCTAATTTGTGCCCAGAGGGAGGCGGGACCATGTGGGGAGAGCAGCCAACAGCTAGGGCTTTGGCAGCTGGTCAGAGGGATCTGGTTTTGGCATAAGAGGATATAGGAACCATTCACAGGTTCATGAGCAGGGCATGATGACATGATGACAGGTATACATGGCAGTCCTAGAGGTGGGAGACACATTAGCAGGCTGCTATAGACTGAATGTTTGTATCCTCCCAAAATTCATGTTAAATCCTAATGACCAATGTATTTGGAAGTGGGACCTTTGGGAGGTGATTAGATCATAAGGATGGAGCCCTCATCAATGGGATTAGTGCTCTTATAAAAGAGATCCCAGAGAGCTCCCTCACTCTCCTCCCCTTTACCCCTTACCCCATGTAAGGACACAGAGAAAAGACTATTTTCTGTGAACCAGGAAGCACACCCTCACCAGACAAATGAATTGTCTATGCCTTGATCTTGGACCTCCCAGTCTCCAGAACTGTGAGAAATAAATTTCTGTTGTTTATAAGTCACCCAGTCTACAGTATTTACAGTATTTTGTTATAGCAGCCCAAAGGCACTAAGACTTACACAGGCTCTTGCAACAGAGGCAAAAGGACCTAGACTAGTCTACAGTGAGAAAACAGGAAAAGGTGAACCTGTAGGACTGGTGAGGAAGGGTAAATATCTAAAAAGGAAAATCACCAGATGCAAGTAGTAAGGAGATGCATTAGTAGATAATGTTAAGCACTATTAAAGGAAACAATCCACAGGAAGCCTAGAGAATTTAAAGCGCCATTAGAGGAACACGAGCAGGGGTTAAAACACAACACACAATTCTACACAGCAAGTGAGGAAGGCAAATGCTGGGAGGAACTGTAGCTTCTATAAAAGGGGGAGAGGGCAAGAAAGCCTAGAAAAGGGGACAGACACAAACAAGGAGACAAGATGAGGACCACAGAAAGTCCGTTACGCTCAGGAGCTGCATCAGCTGATCTCTTAAAGATGAGCTTCAGAATGATGAGAGAGGCAGCATTCATTGGGGAGATTCAAAAAAACTTTGTCCAAAATGTTGCCAGGACTGGAAATGAGTGACCTGCCAGAATAAGTCCCTTTCACAAAACTACAGGCCTGTAAGGCCCACGCATGGAAAAGCATAACCGCTTCCGGACTTTGGAGTTACGGAGATCCGTGTTCGAATCCCGACTGTCCCCCTTGGCAAATGAGATAACCTCCGGTGACTCTGGTCAGCTTGCCCTGGGTGGGTCACACCGCATTGTGAAGGGCAGGCCTAGGGTGAGACCCCAACAAGGTCGCTGACTCCAGAGCGGTGCTCTTTCCAGCAGCCTGATGCTCTGGGCAGCGGGTCCCCTCGCGCGGCCGGCCCCCGGCCTGGAGCGCCTTTGTGCCCCACTCACCCGAGAGCACTCGCAGAAGCGGCCCGCGGCGGGGAGCCGGGAGGGAGACCAGTCAGCAGGAGGTGGCCGTGGGACTGGGGACGCCGGTGGGAGTGCCCCCGATGTGGCGCGGACTGGTGGGGAGGGGGGCGGCCAGGTGGTGATTGGCTGGGCTGCGGCTGGCAGCTCCGGGCCAAGAACAAAAGAGAGCGGGCGGCGGGCGGCCTCTGGAGTAGGCGCTCCCGCCCGCCCGGCGCGGGCTTCGGTGCTGGGGGAAGACGCACCCATCGCCCGCCCGCCGAGCAGCCGGGCTGGCGCGCTCGGTTTCTGCGCGAAAGCCGGCCGTGTACCTAGGAATTAACCGGCCGGCCCTGGAGGGGAGGGGTGGGGAGCGGGAAGTGGTGGTGGTGGGGGGGGAATGTTGAGCGCGCGCGAGAACAATAATAAGATCGTGTTTGCGGTCGCTGCCCGAGGAGGAATTCGGAGGAGGCGCGAGGCCCGGTGCTCGCGTCGCGCCCGGGAGCCCAGGAAAGAGGCCGCCGGCGGCGGCGGCGGCATGAGGCAGGCGACGCGGCGCCTGTGAGCAGCGCGCGGCGGCGGCGGCGGGGAACCTCAGCGCGGGGAGAGCCGAGCGGCCGGGGGCTCCCCTCCCCCGCTGCCGGGCGGTGATTTGCCGGGCCTGCTGCGCCCCCCGCCCACCCCTCGCCCCAGCTGCCGCCTCGCCGCTTCCCTTCGTCGGAGCGGCCGCTCGTCCGCCCGCCCGCCCGGCTCGAGGCCCGCGGGGAGCGCGGCGCAGTCTGTTGGCCCGCGGGGGGGCGGCCTCCCGGCATCTTCGCGGCGCCCAAGGACGACCAGGAAGGGGAGCGGCCGGGATGGCGCGTCCGCGGCCCCGCGAGTACAAGGCGGGCGACCTGGTCTTCGCCAAGATGAAGGGCTACCCGCACTGGCCGGCCCGGGTGAGTACGGCGGCCGCGCGCGGGCCCGCCCGCCCACCATTTTCCCCTTCATGATGGCGCACCCGCCCCCTTTCCCCATCGCCTCAGCCCGGAGCGCGGAGCCCGCCGCGAGTGGCCGACTGCGGCCGGGGCTGAGGGCGCGGGCGGCGCTGCGCAGGGAGGACGGGGCCGCGCCGGAGGCGAGGGTTCCGGGCCGCGCCCGCACCCCGCGAGGGCCGCCATCCTTCCGCCCACTTTCGAAGGCGGCTCCGGCCCCGGCAGGCCCGCCGCTGCCTTCCTCCCGGAAAGCCGGTGGTGACCGGGAGCCCGCGCCGCCGGGGAGCGGGCCTGGAGTGGAGCCATCGCTCCGGGCAGGGTCGTTGGTAGACACCGCGGTCCCGGGCGAACGTCGGGGTACGTAGGGGAGCGTAGTGCAAATGGCTGTCGGAGAGCCGGCGGGTGCCCGCGGCGCAAATCCTGGAAAGGGGTAGTGGTCATTCAGAGCCAGCAGGAGCCTCTTGGCAGTCATTCATCCGTCTCTCGTTGCATCCTTCGCCTTCCAGACTTGTTGAGTTTTCCCGGAGCGCGATTCCAGGTGCCCCGCCAGCCCTATCCTTGTCCTGGGGTACGTGCATCCTTGGTGCCCATGGTTCTTTTAAACCGACACCAAATAGCCGGGAGCTTGCAGCTTGGCACTGGCTGGTGTGTCCTGTAAGCTCCTCGTGCCTTTTCACCTCCATGTTTGTTTTAGGTCAGATCCCAGACCTTATCCTCGGCCTCCCACAACAGTCCACAATAGCGCTCTCTTTCTGTGTAGCAGGGTTTTCGCTGGGCTCTTTCTCTAGAAAGCATCTGCGTGTAATACATAACATTAAATTTTATTAGGTTCTTTGCTAACATGTGTGCTTTGTGTCTTAAAATAAATCCCTTTTACTTTTATAACAGTTGGCAGTTAATTGCTTGAAATAAGAAACAGTGAAAAGGAGGGTCAAAGCATGTTGAAGATTATGTTAGTAAACTTGAGGAATAGAAGTAGACATGGGAAATAGTGGCATAAATATGAGTGCAGGCTCTAAATATGTTGTATTATATGCAAGTGAAGGTACTGAGATTCTCCCCTCCCCCAAATACACCCATTCACAAAAGGAAGTGACATCATGGGTGGCCAGACTGAAATTTAGTGAAGTTGAAGTAATGGATGGACATAATCACTTTTTTTGTTTTTAGTTTGTCATGATTGTAAAATGGAAAGAACACTGGGTCAGGAATTGGGGGACCCTGGCATCTGGTCTGGGCTCTGTTATGGGCTAATCATCTCAACTGTCTGAATATCCATTTCTGCAGCTGTAAAATGATCATCTCTAGGATTCCTTCCAACACTAACAACCTCAGATTTCAAGGGGAAAAAACAGTCTTATTCAGATTTCGTGAGGCTGTGCAAATAACTTTTCTCCACATCTGAACTGTAGGTTTTCCTTAAGTAAGGCAAAGTTTTCATGGTGGAATAATGGGTTATTTTTCCTACTACAGTGCCATAATGTTTTGGGGCAAGATTTGTTACTTTAGGAGTCCTTTAGGGAACCCCTTGAGTATATTCATCAAGTAAGAAATAAACAGCTATAGGGCACATATGTTTATACATAGTTAAAAGTGAATTGAAAGTTAGCATCACCAGTTGGTCATTTTCTTGTAACACAATGGCTTTCTTTAATCTTACCTCTGAAAAATATCTCCTGAGGGTCAAAAAGAAAATAGACTTAAAATTTCATTAACATGTTGCTTGCATATGTTGGCCACCTGTAGTAATTTTGAAACAAAAAAGTGCTGCAGAAGTAGTCATAGTTGTGTATTTGATTGTACATAAAATTCCTAGGAGTTATAATTCCAAACCAAGGCAAAATGGAAAATAGAATGAGGAAATAAAATCAATTACATTGTTAGATAAGATACAGTAAATACAGGGGGAAAAATGTGTGTCTGTTCACATTTAATGCGAGCTTCTCAAGGGAAGGCCCTAAGTCTCTCTAATTTTTAAAAAATATTTTATAGTGAGTGGCATGTTGTAATTTCCAAAGAAAGGTAAAGGTTAGAAAAAGAAGAAAGATATTTGAGTCCCTACTCTTTGTTACAGTTGAATGTGTCAGTGTTCTCGTTTTATTTTCATCCCAATTCTGTGAGATAGTATCCCCACTTTACACCTAGCTATAGCTTTGTAGATGATGATATTATCAAGTATGGGGGGGGAATCCTACTTATTTAAATTTCAAATATTATCCCTTTATATGAAGGCCAGCCATGTTGGGATTCTATCAATATATGGCCATAAGGAATGAAACATAGGAGGGAGAACATGGAGGAAACATTTCTTCAGGCTATGGGGAGGAGCTTTCTGATGGTCAGAACTGGTCCACGTGGCATGGAGAAGTGACTTCTCTGCTGTAAAGAAGACATTTATTTTGGTCCTAGGAATCCCCTTGTGAGGAATGTGAGCCTAGAGGATTCAGACATCTAGTAAATTTGATCAGGTTGGTTTCAGCTTTTGGCTGAGCTGCACACTCTGTGCCCAGGGTGTGTTCTGTAATCTAAGTTTCAGTTTACTAGTCTGTAAAATAGGGATAATTCTCACCTCACAGATTTAGTGTATGTAAAAGCACTAAGCAGCAGTACTTGAATACTCCTATCTTTTTTGCTTTTTGAATTTCTAATTTTTCCCCTGTATCACTACACTATTTAAAATTTTCAGCTATTACATAGATTTGTTATTTGTCCAGCATTTTATCATGAAAAATTTCAAACATATAGAGAATTTTAAAAATTGTATAGTGAACAGCCATATATCTACCACCTAGATTCTGCACTTAACATTTTGTTATACTGTCTATATCACCTATTTGTTCACATATCCATCCCTCTATCCATACAGCAGTCCATCTTTTTTTAATGCATTTCAAAGTAAGTTGCAGATAATTTACTCCTAGACACTCCAGAATGTATTTCATTAACTAGAGATCAATATTTTTAATAGATTCTTTTTTTTCCTTTTGAGGTAAAATTTACATAGACTGAAACGCACTTACCTTAAATGTACCATTCAGTGAGTTGACAAATGTATACACTGGTGTAATGCTAGCCCCTACTGGGACAGAACAGTACCAGTACCCAAGAAAGTTCCCTTATGCCTCTTCCCAGTTGATTCTTGTCCTTCTCCCTTTTCAGATATATTATTTTAACATTAAATAGCAACTGGCTGTTTCTAATGGAGTATACTTGCTGTATATGACTTTAAAAATTAGAAGTTCATTTATGCCTAAGGATTAACTAGCTTAATACTAAAAAATACTTATGCTAAAACAAGAGTCTGCGAAGCTTTTTTTTTTTTAATTTTAAAAAAATATTTTATTTATTTTTTATTTTTGGCCGCATAGGGTCTTAGTTGCGGCATGCAGGATCTTTCACTGTGGCATGCGGGCTTCTCTCTAGTTCTTCTCTCCAGTTGTGGCGTGTGCGCAGGCCTAGTTGCCCCATGGCATGTGGGATCTTAGTTCCCTGACCAGGGATCGAACCCGAGTCCCCTACATTGGAAGGTGGATTCTTTACCACTGAACCACCAGGGAAGTCCCTCTGAAGGCTTTTGATTGTGTACCTTGTTGGTAAAGAAAAAAGAAAAATAGAGCATGCATCTCTAATATGTGTAAATTTACTTTAAAATTACATCTACATGTACTTTGTACTATTATATATATTATAAGATAAATACAAAAAAACTAATAGGGATGACAGATGATATAGATGATATTTTATGTTTTAAAATTCTTATTGGCAAAATGTCATTAATAGTACTAGATTAAGTTTATATTTTAAAAAGTACTAATTTTTGGAATTTTTTTGCCTCCTTGTGAGATCTGACTAGATTGTCACAGTTTTTATCTTTTAAAGAGATATTATAGAAGAGAACTGTCAGCTTGGCCATTTCCTTGTTTGCTTGTGCTTACATTATTAGCGTCATCTTTGTAGGACTCCTTTAGCCACTTGTTCATTTAGCGAGAATTCTGTTAGAAGTAGATGTTCCATAATTCTACTCAACCAGGCACACACAAATGGCAATAAGTCACAGTATGCCTAAAGTGAATAAATATAATTATGTAAATAAGCACACTAGTGTTAATTGATGTATTGGATATTAGTAAAATTTACTTTTTAGGCGAAAGAATAAGAATCTAAGATAGAAGTTGTACTATTTTCTTCACAGACCCCCTAAAATCATCTTGTGTATCCCCCGAGGTGTGAACACTCTGCTTATGTTACCCCTACTCTAAAAAATGGAAAAACAAAAAACAATACAAAAACCAAAGTCTTAAAGCCCTTGTGTTTCAGTTAAAGAGCTTTTTAAAATACAACTTTATATGAGAACTCTCAAGCATCGTTAATAGGAGAGTAAATCGATATAACCACTTTAGAAAACTGGCCTGATCTACTGTAGGTAAATACACGCCTGCCTTGTGACTTGGCAGTCTGTTCTAGGCATATACCCAAGAGAATGGGTGTTTATGTCCACCAAAAGACTTGTACAGTAATGCTCATATATGGCGGCTTTATCCATAATAGCAGAAGACTGAAACAACCCAGATGTCCATCAATGCTAGAATGGATAAGCAAATTTGTAGTATGTTTGTATAGTGGAGTACTACCCAGCAATAAAAAGGGGCAGACTACTGATGCCCACAAAAATATGGATAAATCTCAAAAATACAAGGTTGAGTGAAAAAAAAGCCAGACACAAGACAGTACATTCTGTATGATCCCATGATGTTCAAAAACAGGCAAAGCTGATCAATGGTGACCAGTTTGTGGTAGGTGGAGGTGGTGGTGGGGTTACTGACTGGTAGGAGGCACTGGAAATGTTCTGTATCTTGATGTGGGTTTGTACGTATGTAAAAATTTATCAGGCTTGCACTTGGGGATTTATGCACTATTATGTATATAATGCCTCAATTTGCGTATATAATGCCTCAATTTTAAAA